GCTTTTTTTTGGACTTTTTTGTCTGAGTTTCATTATCCAAGCTAGTGTAGTAGATAATAAAAAATGTTTGGAAGTTATAAAATAAGGCCCACATTAAGATTAAAAAACTTACAGTTCTCTCCAAACTGCTGTCGACACCTACTAAACGAGCCATTGTTCTAGTAAAACATTTTTTATTAGCAAGAGTGAAATGACGTAAGTCACGAAACATTAGATCATTTGCATATCCACGACCTGTTCGTTTCTTCCAAGGAATGTCACGAGCATACGCGGTATCAGAATTGGAAATATGCCGAGTTACGGTACTAATCAACGGAATAACATGTCTTACGCATGTCTGTGAATTTGCTAGCATTATATCTTCCCTTCAAATATATTTCATTAGATTTTCTTTGCTCGCACTGCTTGCAAAGCAACAGTTATGAATAATCACTGTGTTCCCTCCCTTCTCTCTCAGCATTAAACAATCTCCATCAAGCATGCACTAACTTCAAATTTGACCAGTGCAGATCAGTGTGAGCTGAGTAAATCATTCTTCATAGAGAGCGTACCTATGTATACCTCCTCTGCTGAAGAGCTATCGGGATTTGAACCCAACATTGTTTTCCACTGTTCCATGCATTTCACTATCCGCAATTACCTCGACACTCCATGCCTCAGACCCAAAACTATTAACCATTTAACATATTTAAAAGCCTTAATATAGAAACCATCTTACAGAGCCTATATGAAAGTTACTTTCCCAACGAAAAAAACTGAAACTCACTCTTTACACACTTCATAAATAAATTAATACAAAGCATAATTTCCACAAAAGCCTCAGTCACCAGAAGAAGGCGATTACAGCACTGTTAACGTACATGACGCCAGTTACATTTCAGTCTCTTAATAACAGCAAGAGCAAGAAATCACGAACACTCAACTTCAAAACATACTAAGCACAAATTCACGGACACTTTAAATGGTTCAAACTTCGAATTCCTTTATAAAAATCAATGGAGTAACTGTCGACTGGGTTTAAATATGTTTGAACACAGACATATTGTCATATTTACTTTATAGTGATGAAACGACCCATCCACAAAAACAAGCGTTGAAGGATTTTTGACC